AATGGCTGATTTGACACATGAATATTGCATTAGATAGATAGTGATAAAAAGTATATATAAAAACCAAATAAAATTAAAAATCATGAAATTGTAATATTTCCATTATATAAACAAAATTTATATTTGCATTGATTTTAGAAATATACAGTTGTTAAAAGACTATAGAAGATTGAAACAAATCTTTTTGTAAAATTTAAGTAATTAGTGGTAGCAATAAGGACCATACATTGTTGTGGATTTCCAAAAATAATATTTTTTAAAGCAAGTTTAATTTTTTAAATAAAATAACCTTCTCTAGCCACTAATTGTTTGAACGTGATTTTGGATTATATGAATTTTACAAAATATATATATATATATATATATATATATATCATTAGACAAATAATATGGGTACATATCAAGTCAAAGAAATCATACAAAACTACATCATTAAATACTTAAGACATGTAGGCATAAAACCTCAAAAATAACAAAAACGCTTTTTTTATTTACAATACCTGGACTTAGCTCTAATAAACTAGAGCAACAAATGAAGATCATTACGTGGAACAACAATCTCTCATTTGTCTATATCTCTTACTCCAATATCTTCTTATAATATTTTAGCCAAAGAGGTATACCCTCTTATGTTATAAAAAAGAAGATTTTTTTTTTTTTTTTTTAATTTGTTCAAAAAATAAAAAAGTTCTTCCTCACCATGCAGCAGCTGGTTCCTTTATCCAATTAAGGTCCACGTGCAAAACACTGCTTTGAAGCACATTGAATGGGATTAACTCGGAAGCACAACCCTGCTGCAGTGCCACTCCTGTGTTGTTGCTGCAAAGCGAGAGACGCTAAACTGCGCGCACTGCACCAAACAGATGAGGACAGCACAAGGGAAAAAGAAGATCTGAGTTGTGAGTGGCGCCGCACAATAGACACCCGCAGCGCGTCGCACCCACGGTCCATGCAAAGATACGGGGATTCAGTAGCGGCTGGTGTATGCCTTGCTTTGATGAGTGATGGCGAAGCGTGGCCTTGTGCGAGCTGACAAGGGATCACTGCGGCATCAGCACCAGGGATCAGGAGTGTGAGAAAAAGAGGGCGAGAGAGAGAGAGAGGTGGTGGTGGTCCTGCCCGAGGTCAATATGGCACTTGAGCTGACTGCATCACCAATCCCACTCCCACTCTCTCTATTCTCTCTCTCTCACATGTCTGCAGACTTACACGGCCCGAATGCCAATGCGTGTATTGTATGTGGGGAATCAGGTGATGGACACCCCAGCTGATGTGAGGGTGTGGAATACCAGACCTCCTCACTGCGGCGGCGGTACATGACAAGAGCCCACTTCAATTCCACCACGGAACCACGCGCAGGGACAACCAGACGGTTGTGAGACCGTCCTGGTACGCGAGCCGAGAAAGGGGAATGGGGAGTGTGGGAAACGAAGCTCCTGCAATCAGCAGGTGAGCAGAGGCACAGGATTTGTGGGTACCTGCCACCAAGGAAAAGGCCCCCCCAAGTCCTGCCCCTGCATTGACAAGACGTTGCAGTTCCTCCTCCTTGTCCTTGTCCTCCTCCTCCTGTACCTGCTGTAGTTCCTGTTGTGCTGCAATGGACGAGGGATTGGAGCATCGCTCAGCTCCTTCCCCCGTCACCCTTTCGAGTGGGAGCCTCATTAAATCCGCTCGTGCAATGGCTTGTGAGTCCAGTCCTGCCTCCCCCTTGACCAGCATACGCGTCGCCTTGCTGCTCCCCTCTCCTCTGCGCTGTGTGGCAGAGTCCTGGACTTCGATCTCCACCCATTTCGATACCCTTACCTGGATTAGTGCACCCGGGTGAAAATCCACAACTTGGGTTGTCTAGGGTTGTGGCTGCCTCTTCAAGGCGTTCGTTTTGCTTGTGTAGGCGTGTTTTCACATGGAAATTCAACGTCAGTTTGTGAATTTGAGTTGTTCGCTTGCTTTTAAAGACGCTTTGACATGTTCCCGCTACAAAGTTCATGTCATCAGACCAAGATACATTGCTATGTTAGCACATCATCAGTTCTCGTTTTGTTGGAACAATATGTTTTTTTTGGATTCTTGATGATGGGATGGTAGGTTCCCAAAGATGTTGTATGATTGAATTTAATTATTGAGAAATCAATGCTTCTTTATTGTGGATGTTGAATCAATCATGTGAGGATGATTCCGTGACATGATTTTCAAATCTCAACTAAGAACAATGTCATGTGAAATTACATTATTTGTACTCTACACTAGGATATTGAGCTCATTTGTAAAAAAGCAACACCTAAAAATTGAATTCATACCTGGATCCATGCCACTAATGTAAAAGATCATAATTTCTCTAAGTGTTTAAATAAATTAGATTAAAAAATAAATCAAATAAAATCATTGCCATGATTATAACATAATTCTATAATATAAATTTTGAACAGTCTTAACTTGATACATCTTGAGGTGTTAAATTACTCTTTACCTTTACACTCATTCAAATCAGTTTTTAGAGATTTTAAAAAATAAGATCTATTGTATACTTAAATTTATCATCACATTGTTGTTCCACAAGTTATTAGTATGTATGTCATGTGGCTAACTTATTGACCAACGTTTCTAGCCTATTAATTAACTAAAAACATGTGTAAAGTCAAAGTAATATTTAGGATGCTTCTAAAAAACTTCTCTAAAAGATATTATGAAATTAATCTACTTTTATCTACTTTTACCTAATCATATAGGTAATTATTAGAATAAATATATATGTCCATGACAAATTTATATAAAAATTACATCAACAACTATTTATCATTACATTCTAATGCAATGACGTAGTATTTTATATAACCTTTTTCAAAAAAAATATTATAGTACAATAGTATCATTAAGAAGTAGCTAACCAAGGCAAATATATATATATATATATATATATATATTTAATATTTATGCATTTAAGAAAGAAGATAGACTAATAATTTATTTATTTTCCACTCTTCAAAATGCAACCATTTAAGTTAATGAAAATTTACATATAATTCTTTTAATTGTAATTAAGAAATAAAAATTTAGAAATAGATCAAAGTTTTAATTTGGACCTTAAATGGTTGGATGATATCAAACATATTTATGATTTAAATAATGACCAAATCTTATTTATAAATAACATCACAACTTTTTAATTAAAATCAATCTCATACTTAAAATTACCATAAATATTCTAAATATTTTAAAATTCATTTGCATAAGAAAATAAAAATTTCAAAGACTTCATAGTTATTTTTTATTTTTTTTTTACAAATAAAATGTATTAGTTTGTCTGTTTTGAAGTTTTTATGCAAATTTCGAATGTTATCAGAACTACATATTGAATGTTATCAAATAAACTGAATAGAACCAACCAAACTAAAAACTTTTGAGGTTGTATGAAACCAACTCTAACCACAGCAATAAATCATAAAGGAGAATACAAACCAATACCTCAAACACAACAACAACAAAACAAAAAAACAATGTTTACTACATTTACTATGACACACAAAGAGAGCAGGAAAATAACAAATGGTGGTTTTTAGTTTTTAGGTAAAAAAACTAAATCACAAAAATTTGCTATTTTATGAGCATATCATCTTGTACTTTGTGCTTGGAATGAATTATCCCGAGATATTCTATATATATTTTTTGTATTATTGAGAGTAAATAAGGAAGAATTAGAACGGTTTTTAAAAAATGTTGATTTATTTTTATTTTTGAGAGTTTCAAAAAATATAAAGAAAGAAAAGGAAGCATATTATGACTTTTTTTCATTGAGTATTTAGTAAAGCTAGATATTGTGCAAATAAAATAAAATAACCTTTTATTTTATTTTTATGCTTCCATACAAAACAATATATATATATATATATATATATATATTCTGTATAAATTTCTGCATTTATTGGCATTTATTAAAATAACGTTGAAAATGACACATACAATGTAGACCTACATGACACAATTCAAAATAAATTTCCAAAGTATAGTACGCTTAAAATAATTTGAAAGCACTACTACAATCTCTTCTCAAACAATCAGCTCACAAAGTTTAATGTCTTCATGTGTGTGAAATGTTGTCTAACACAGTTTCACCGAACAAGCAAACATTCAACACAAATGAACCATTCATAAAATAGGTGAAGAGTATTAGCCCTCTTCGCATTCACCGTTTACTAAGTCAGCTACGCCATACTAAATACACCATGTGGCTCATCCAACAAGGAATCAGAATCTAAAGCTTGGCTTTCACTATGCACAAGTTTTAAGGTCCACGATACAAACGAGAGCTTTATTAGTTTCATCCATCGTGCACAAGAAAGCGAACGAACGTCGTCTGTGTATATAAACGCAGAGTTCACTCCACTGGGTCACACATTCATCCATACTAGAAGAATACAGTTAGTGAGTGGAGAATAGTGCGTTTAGTGTTCGTTCTGCATTGATGTTTAACAAAATGCCAAGTGGGGGAAAAGACGAAGGCCCACTGAAGGATAGATCGCCTATTCATACTCTCAACATGATTGAGCGAGGCGCCGAGCTGTGCGACGATTTCTTCGCCGTCTGTGCGTACTAACTCCACTTTAACGATGCTCTACCTAAGTAATGGAGAAAGTGAAGGGGTGTTTTGTGATAATCAAGTGGGTTCGAATATTAATAAATTGATATTGCCTGAAACGATCGTGCGTATCCTATCCTGTGAGAAATAACTCCACTGGGATTTAACAAAGGTCTGCCAAAAAAACGGCGATGTAATTATAGAGAAACTGGTCATCATAAAGTGTGGAAGAGTACGATTACATGACATGTACTTAAGGACTGCCAATTTAATGCCGCAAGGAACGCCGAAAGGTGCACAGGACAGCGCATCATATCTTGCTTTGAAACATGTGCAAACAGTGCTCCCAGCTGAAATTGCAGGGTTTTAGCCTTTAGGCGCTGGACTGGCGCTTTTATGAAGCAAGATTCCACAATCAGTCATAGGGTTTTGCAATAACTCGGCAAGTAAACTTCTTGTTATTATATAGGAGCAGATACTGTTGGCGCACCTGCTAAAGAATGCTCATAATACGACTAAACAATTAGCCGCATTAAAAATACGGCTAAAAAATGCTGACATAATTCTTCGTCGTCCCTGAGTTTGGGTATAGACTCAGGCATCCCGTCAAAACCGCTATGGATAGACAAACACATCTAGTAACTATGGTGCATGGTGGAACTGATGCCGAGTTCGGCAAGCGGATTGAGGACGTTTTCATGCAACGGAAACTGCCAGTGAAAAAAATTCGGTTCGATGGACACTTTATAGGCTGGCGCTCTCTACGTGGAGACAACTCTCATTGTGAAGAGACAACTTGCGACGCTTGCGCTGGGAATTAGTTGAAGGCGGTGAATCCGTCACATCTGGACTGGACTCGCGAGAAGAGAATCCAAGCACAGTCCCACTGGGGCTGCTCACATCGGCTGCCTCCAATACTCCAACGGGACTTTGGGGTTCCGATGCGTGCAATATCTTCCTCTTCAGACCCATGCGGACACAGTAAGGACCTATCTCAGATTGCCTCATATCGATGTAACAGTCCTTCACAGATTCCTGCGCAGACGAAGTTTGAATCAACCTCCATGAAAAACGCTATCTGGAACTAGAGCGTTATACTTGACGGTTACGGTGACTTAATGGTCAGAGGACCTACCACATTAACTAACAACTCGTTGAATGTTCGAAGTAGATCTCCCGTGCGAATAGTTGTCACTTCTTCCAGTGCGCAGATAATAGATGCCGCCGCGACAACCGAGGGAAGGTATTGGAGGGAAGTTGTAACTGTATTAAATTGGAAAAGTCAGTGTTGTAGTAGAGAACAACCATTCTTGGCACTGAAAAAGCTACTACATTATAATTTTCGATAATGCAGGTAGTTGACTATCTCACCACGAATGGATTTCAAAATAATTTCGCTAACTCGAGAGAGAAGAGCTCTCAGCAGCAAGTCACTAACACCAAGCTTGTGGAAAAAATAATCTACATACGAGAAAGGCGTCACTCCACTCATCCGCCACTCTAGAGTGGACAAGACTAAGAGTTCCATCCTCTGAATAGTGTGGGCTTCAAATATGTGTTCCTCCTGTTCGACCTGCTCGAAGTTGCAAGGGATCAGAGGCAAGTTCTCAGTTGATCAGTGACATGAAACCCAGAGTGAACGCTGATCGGACCGAAGGAGCGGAAATTTAACCTACCTGAAAATCGAGCAGTATCGGCACGTCGGATTCCTCCATTTTCGCAGCGAGAGATATGCACGCCACTGACAGAAGCTGCAGCATCCACTCCTTTCCTTCCTGCGCAAGGATACATCAGAAAAAGATAATTCATCCACAGCCCAAGATACTGATCGCGGTAAAGATACAATCCACGAGTGCAGAGAAGAATTAGAGGTGTACCGGAAAGTAATAACGCGACAAAAAACGGTCCATGTAATTCACCGCTAAAGCTACAGTCAAGGGACTGTAGTTGTAAAAAGAGTGGACCTGCGCGACACATCACGACTGTGAGACATAATTCTTCACTGAGCACATAATCCATGCACAAATTTTTAACACCCAGACGGCAGCTTGATCAATCATCGCCACCAGTATCTGAGGCTAGATGAACCAACTCAGACACTGATCACGTTGACAAGTCGTGAGGAGAAAACAAGTCTCACAAAGGAGGCGTACTTCACCTTCAAAATCCACTCAATAGCAGCCAGACGAGCCTCAAGGCTCAATTTCCGAGACTGGTACCTCTCCAGGTAATCAGCCTCGGGCATGAATTGCGCCTCTTTCATGAGCAGAGTGGCAATGGCCTCATCATCCTCCACGGGGAAATCCATAAACACAGCAGGCTGAGACTCAAACACTCTGTCCGCGGCGCCACACATCTCACTCTCATTCCACGCCGTGCCACTCACATCCTCCGCACAATACAAGCTTGCCAAGCAATCAACACTGGGAGACATCCTTCTGGCGACCCCAGAACGCACTACCGACGAACCACTTCATGCAGAGAACATCCCCGGGGTATCTCAGTTCTCTTCACAATTCCAACCTGGGCTCGCCGTCCCAACCTCAGTCACCTCGGAAGGATCACCTCACCACAAACGCGAAGGAAAATGTATATATATATATATGTATATATACAATGACTCCCAATCTAAACGGTCAACAGGCTCGGGGCAGCCGATCAAGGCATAATCGGAGACTGCACTCGAGCTCGAACCCCAAACACACCGTACCCCGAGTGAAGCGCGAGAACCGTGGCGCTGCACGAAAAGGAAAGGGAAGAGAGTGGACGAGGAGCAAAGGGCCGAATGCGGGGTCCCCTGAAATAGAGGGAGGGGAGGGGAGGGGGGGGGGGGGGAGAGGGAGCAGAGACTGACGAGATTGTATAGAGGCAACGAGACACATCGTGTAGGGGTCACAAAGCGCCCATCACCTGCAATGTGCTGCTGCAGTCGTCGGCCAGACGCACACAATCTAGAGAACCATCGCCCTGCGGCATCGCAACAGGATGAACGCTGCTGCCACGATCCCTCGAAACCAGACACCGCCGATGCGGCGTCAGCCAGAGTGGCAAACTCCAGATATTTAGGCGCCCGTTTCCAAACATAGGCCAGATGGATGGAGCTCCAGAGTGGGGCCAGGCTCTCATCCCCGCGAGGCCGCGAGGCACCCCGCGGCGGGGGGGGGAGTCTCTCCGCCGACGAGACCACGGCGGGATGCTGCCTGCTTCCCTCCTCCGCTCCCTCTACACTTCCTGTTGTGGGAGTGGCGGATGATGAGGTTTCGTCGGTGGAATCGTCGTGAGGGAGCTCAAGTTGCTCGTGACCAGGGGGTCCAGTTTCTAGTGCATTCACAATTCGCTTGTTGGTTTCTTACTTGTGAAGTTGGTTGTAAGAATGTGGAAGTTCTTTTGGTCCGAACATGACCAGTTTGGAATACATACATTTAGCACACAAAGGTATTTGAGAAACTAATATATAGCAAAGGAGGAAGTGATTTGTTTGTTTAAAGAGGGGGTATCAAAAATCAACAGCAAGATTGGATGTTGAAGAAGCTCAATTGTTGGAATTTGTATTTGTCCTAGTGAATAGTTTGGATGGGTCCACAAACTTTTTAGCATTTTTGTTTAAGTTAGAAGTTTAAGTCTATTGTGCACATGAGTGGTCTACAACAAAATATGTCTTAATTTTATTATTTAGATTTGACAAATCAATCTACAATAAAATCTATATCCAATGTCTCTATCCATATCAGGAGGCATCGAACTTAGAGATTACTTAGAAAAAAAGTTTGAAGAATAAAGAAGCTAATAAAAGTAAACTACCATGTATTTTATTATAGAATATATTTTTTTATTGAAAAAAGATAAAGATTAATTTAATTACAAGAAAAAAAGAAAAAGATTAATTTAATTATAAGAAAAAATATGAGTTGGCATTTGAGGTGGTTAGAAAAACTCACATGCTTAATCTACTTCTAATCTATTTAGTATATATATGAAAAAAAAATCAATAAAAGTTAGTAAAAAGTCATTTTTGATTACTTTTGGTCCAACTTTATTTTGGCTCTTTTGTTTTCTTATTACCTTATGTTTTTTACTTAGTCTAGATCAACTCTATTCTTATCCTACTTAGTTCTTTGTGACAAATATCAATATTAAGATTAGTAATTAGAATAATAAGTGGAGTTAGGTAGAAATACATAAAAGCAAATTAATTCGATAATATCTTTGTAACAGACTTTTTAAAAATTTAATAAAATATGGATTTTATTTTAAAATATTTATAGGTCATTGATAGGTTGAAAAATTAGTCAACTACTTGGTTACATGTTGTAAATGTTGGTCATGTGGTATATATGTTGGAAACTTGTTTTATAAGTTAGATACATATTCCATAAGTTAGTGTCACAAATATATATATTTACTCCAATAATTACCTATATAATTAGATAGAAGTAAGTAAAAATAGATTAATTTCATAATATCTTTTAGAAATGCTTCCTAAAAGCTTTATAGATGTGGTTTTGACTTTACACATGTTGTAGTTGATTGATCAACAAATTAACCATATGCCACACATGTTTGTAGCTTGTAGAACAAACTATCTATATGGCACACATATAAAAAACTTGCCTTACAAGTTAAGATACGTATCTTGCAAAGTCAACATATTTTCAAGGTCCTATAGAATATTGCCATGTAGATCCTAATTAGATAGTATATATAGAGGCAAGAATGGAGTCTTTTTCATTCTTTTCAATATCTTTTTAATCTTTAGTCTTGTTTCAAGACTTTCTAGACTTCTTTTCTTTAGTAATAGTTATTCTAATTCAATATATTATCATTTTTGAGTGATTTTACAATCTTTTTGAGTCATACAAGAGAGTATTGAGATTTTTTTTTCTTTGAGATTTATATCCTTGATAGTTTGACAAAAGTGTTAACTTATTGTTCTTATCATATTTTAAAAGTGAGTAGAATATCCTACTTCTATTGTTGTCTTTTGAATATTATAGACTATCCATCTTTAAACAAACTATTTAGTTTTTTAACACTAATTTTTTCTTTAAAGATAGGAGATTATTCCATTTTGTGGAAATTTTCATTTGATATTAGATGTTGCAAATTATCTTCCTCTAATTTGACTTGTGGATTTAATAAGTTAAGTAATCATGGTGTTGTATTATATGAAGCCTTGTTTGAGAATGCAACAAGCACTTGGCTATGGAAGGTAGAAATAATATTACAACAACAAGATTTTAATAGAATCCTAAATAATTTCAATTAAATCTTAAAAATGCTAATGAAGCTTTAATCAAATCAAAAGAAATCTCAAAGAAATTACAAAAGAAGTATGAAAAAATTCCAAAGAAATTCAAAAGAAGTATTAAAATAAAAACCAAAATATACCTTAAATAAATTTTTAGTAAATTTTAATTTAATCCTAGTTAAAATCCTAATAATTCTTACTTAAATCCTAATTTAAATCCTAACTAAATCTTAAACAATCCTAAATCCTAAACAAATCCTAAATCCTAACCAATTTCTAAATCCTAACTAATTTCTAAATCCTAAATCAAATCCTAATCAAATTAATTTAATCCTAGGAAAATTTAGAACCTCAATATCTATTGATTATATCATTGATCTTACTTAAGATTTTAGACACCTCTCAAAAGCTAAGTTGGCAACAAGCACATAAAATTTGAACAAGATCGAATTTACCAGATAATAGATCAAACCTAAATTCCACTCAAGTATTGGCCAGCCTCCTACTCTAATCTGACTTTTGAACTTCGAGTGCTAATATCTTCTTCTTGAACCATTGAATTGCCTCTAAAATATACCTAAATTGTATGAAATCAAGTCTAGTCTCTTTACAAAAAAAAAAAAAAAATCACTTTTATCCAATTAATAAATTGTTGAAAATCTTAAAAATACTCATTGATCTTTGAATTCGAATTTTTGAAACCTCAACCCACAAAAACTTTTACACACTTAAATCTAACTATTAGATTGACATTGGAATTTTCACACATATTAAAAACTAGAATGTCAACATATTTTTCAAAATTCACTTATAAAAATACCATAGAACTCAAGAAACCTTCAATTTTATAAACATAATTTTATTTTTTAAAATCTAATCCAATCAAGAATATTACTAATTTTAAAAATTATTCAAAAATTAAATATTAACTTGATTAACATAAAAATAATGATTAAAAATCTTTTTACAAGTTTACCTTCAAATCTTACTCTCTAATCTATAAAAGAATCTTAGAATCACCATAGGTACTTGATTTTGTTCTTTAAGATCTGATTTTGACCTAGGTTGACAATTGGTCCTCTTTGGGTATCAATATTTAATAATTTGATATAATTTTTATTTAAATATATTGATAAATTTATTTTAAATATTTCTATATTAATTATATACCTCAATTACTTTGATTTGAAGTATTTATGTCTTTATAAAGTAACTAGAAGCCTTTTTCTAAAATGCAACATTAAGACTATGTCTTTTATTACTTTTCTATCATTTATTCTTGTATTTTTATTACATCTTTTTACTAGGTTCTTCTATAACAACATCCATATTTTCATTTTTTACCATATATTTGTATTACTACACAATAACGATAGCTTCTAAGTTTTTAGAAACTTATTTATTAAGACTTAAATCAATCAAATTGATATTGCATATTTTAAATCCCTCATAGAGTAAAAAAAGACTTAATATTATTAAGAAGATTTTTACTTATATTGTGGAAAAGCTAAGCTTGTTCAACATTATTTAAAGAAGCAATACAATCACAAAATAAAGAACACAATTACCAAAGAAGACAATGTATTGAAAAACAAGTTTTTTTAGCTACAATATGAACCAATTTATATCTTATTGCAAAATGAATTAGTTGCACTAAAAAAATAAATTGACAAAAACTTGGAAAAGAACTTCATATGCCATTCAAAATTTCTAGTAAGAGCTCCTATCTTATTTATGAAGAAAAAAGATGAATTTCTATGGATGTGTGAAGACTATCAAGTACTTAACAAGATCAGCATGAAGAATAGATATCCTTTATCTTTGATTTTAAGACTTCTTGACCAACTCAATCAAGCAAAGATCTACAAGGAGCATATAATCTCGTCCACATTAAAGAAGAAGATGAATAGAAGATTATTTTTTAAACTAGGTATGGACATTTTGAATATATTGTTATGCCTTTTGGATTCACAAATACATCAGCTCTTTTTTAACATCTCACGAATGATGCTTTTCATGCATTTCTTGATGAATTTGATGTTTTTTATTTAGACAACATTCTAATCTGCTTTAAAAATATAAAAAAATATGAACTTCATGTTTGTCTTGTGTTACAAAAACTTATAGATATAGGATTATATGTCAAGATGAAAAAGTATATATTCCATATTACTCAAGTTGACTTCTTATGATACATTATTTCCAACAAAGAACTAATAATGGATCAAAGTAGGTCCAAACTATCATGCATTGGAAGATCTCAAAATTAGTCAAAGATGTGCAATGTTTTTTGAAGTTTGCCAATTATTGTAAGATCTTCATTAATTTTTTTTTCAAATTTTGGCTCTTCTTACACATTAGATATATAAAAACAAACTTGAATGGATGAAAGAAGCAAAAGCATCTTTTAAAGCCTTAAAGATGTCATTTATTTTTGTACCAATTTTATATTGCATCAATTTTTTTAAAGGCATTTTTTATGGAAATAAATGCATTAGACTTTGCTATAGATATCATTTTATCACAAATGAAAGAAGATGACAAGCTATATCTGG